TGACCTGTTCCCGTGCGTAAATGGTGCACAACGCGTTTGCTGCGTACGTGCACCCGTGTCCATGTGTATTTATACGCGCGTTATTGACTGCGCATTGATCGTTATGTTGTATTCAATGACAGGTAAGCAGCTACATGGTGGACTACATGCCGCCCGTGTGCACCGTGTCCATGTGTATTTATACGCGCGTTATTGACTGCGCATTGATCGTTATGTTGTATTCAATGACAGGTAAGCAGCTACATGGTGGACTACATGCCGCCCGTGTGCTACCCGGATGACCTGTTCCCGTGCGTAAATGGTGCACAACGCGTTTGCTGCGTACGTGCACCCGTGTCCATGTGTATTTATACGCGCGTTATTGACTGCGCATTGATCGTTATGTTGTATTCAATGACAGGTAAGCAGCTACATGGTGGACTACATGCCGCCCGTGTGCACCGTGTCCATGTGTATTTATACGCGCGTTATTGACTGCGCATTGATCGTTATGTTGTATTTAATGACAGGTAAGCAGCTACATGGTGGACTACATGCCGCCCGTGTGCTACCCGGATGACCTGTTCCCGGTGCGTAAATGGTGTACATCGTGATACGATATTGTCATGTCCAAGAACATTTTGAGCGACCTGACCTCGACGATAAAGGATAAGATGGATTGTTGTACTATGATGTATATACGCTGTATCATGAAAGTAAGGACGAGCTAAAGTGTCTCACCGATCTTGTTAATATGTACTTGTTGTATTTCTCCTTCTCTAGTGCGGAATCACTCAGCATGTATAAAATGGCGTGAAGACCATCATCTATGGGTACTGCGGGTTGACTATCTATCCGATGATGTTTGTAGTATGCGCAGGAGATGGATCTACAATGCGCCCGGTGGCTTGAAGTTTTCTGTATCGTTGAATGTGTTTGCTTAGATGACCAGCTTTGTGTAGCTTGCGCATGGACTTGAGGACGTTTTGTGCTCCGCGGGCCTTGATGTTGTGGTCGCCAAGAAACGAAAGTAACTGCATTTCAGCGACATCGCCTAATTCCAACACATCGTCTCGATACTGCGGAGACTTCTCATCAAGCACGAAGCCATCAGCAAGAAACAGTTTCATGAATGCAACGACAAGTTTGGCGGTGGATTTCGTGTGCTTGCTCGAGCTATCAAACGAATCCCAGAGGCGGGGTTCCTGGGTATACCAACAAAACCAGACGTCCTTCAGGTTTGTTGACGAGCTCGTTCGGCGACGTTTGGCTGGTGGTTCTTTGTCTTTACCCTCACTTCTTTCATGTGAAGATTTTGGTTGAGCTTTGTTATAGACCTCAGCTTCAATCATCGAGACGCGAGATTCGAGCCTTTGGTTGACCTTGACTAACTGTTCAATCAATGAAGCTTGACGAAGATATATTGGATGCTTTGTGATGTCAATCGTGCTGTCTGAAGCCTTGATGGGATTCGGTGGATCATTTGTCTTCGTGTAGCAGGTTAGATGTGAAGACCAAGCTAGAAGTTCGCTGACGGAGTAACCTTGCTGGATTACACACGCTTCCAAACGTGTGACTACAAGTCCGTCTTTCTTTAGCTGCTTCAACGATGGATAATGAATCAGCAGGTAAGTGATAAGCGTTTAAATCACTTTTTTGCTCACGTTGTATTGTGTAGTCTTGAGCCCTTGAGATGCATTGAAGAGCGCTGTCGCAACAGTTTGTATTTTTGTCTGCGTACTGGAGTCGAAGACATCAAGTGATAGGAGAGATACGTCGGTATCAAGGTGTCGCCCACTCAAGACCCGGGCAACCTTATGGTCTTCGGAAGCCGTATTAAAAACGTACGCGAAGGCCTTGTTTGTCGCTGTCATATTCCAGGCGCCTCGGTCGAAGATCCACTGTACACCCCTCCGCGCCGAAAAGAGTGAGATGTCAAGCGCTCGGATACGCCAGCTTTTACAGCGACCCGATCAAGAACACGGTTGACGTAGCTGTGTACACCAGGAGCGTTATCTGTGATGTTCTCCTTCTTAGCAGCGGTGGATAATATATCCTGTGAAGACACCACAGCCTCTGGATCATCGAGCAAATCGATGAGCGGAGTTGCTGGAGCTAATATGGACTGTGAGATAGCCATCTGCTCAGGAAGTTGACTCAGCACGGATATAGTTGGCGATGAGTGGGTCACGAGGGCGAGAGCTATGGCAAGCAGAGGACATGTGGTGAAGTCTTCGTCCGGGAAAAGTGAAAGACCTTGCTCTTCAGAGGTTTTAATTCGGATAAATCGGACGAAGAATATGTCGCCCGAGCCGATAGACAGTTTTGCCTTCCGCAGCATTGTAAGGTCCGATGCACGCCCAAAGAGGTACCAAAGCAAACACAACAGCGCCGCATCTTGGTAGTCAGCACTAGTAACCGCAGTTGAATACAAGTATTCCATCATTTTCTTGAGAGCAGACTTTGTGCATGCTGGGGCCTTGTTTACAAACGACCCTGACTCACGCTTCATGCAATGGCGTTCGAGTGTCTGTCCTTTCTTGAGCAAATTCTTTTCAACCACTGCTCGATGCTGTGGGAACTGCTCCAGCAGCCAATTCTTGGCTTGTCGAAAGTACTGCATGACCGAGTGTCGAGCTAAGAGCTGTCCCTTTCGGCTTTCCTTGAACGCGAGAAACATGCCAAACTTGTCCATCACAGCTTCTAGTGCGAGAGGTGCCCTTTCGCGCTGCATGCACTGTTGCAGGTACTCCCAAGTAACCTCCTCCTGCTCGAGGGACTTTAAAAATGAGCGCGCTGCGTTCTCACGGGCACGCTTTGTGTTGGCAGGTGCTAGGTCGGTCAGACTCATCCTCGGTGGAGATGTTAAAGCTTGGATGTTGTTTGTAAAATATGCGATTGAGTTACCTTTTGTCGGAGATGTCGGAGTTTGAGTGTTATTTTTCAAATATGCGAATAACTTGGTGTTTGTATAGTGATAACCATAACAGCACTGTTCTCTCCGACCTGACACGTCGGAGAGGTAGCTGAGAGAGCTGTACTTGTATATCTGCTCTCTGATTGGATATAATTTTGCCTTCGTGCAATTTGACTCCTTAAAAAAGAGTTTTATATCACTAGGCTCACACTATTGGTCAATACACTCAATATGTTATTCAAGTGCGGTCGGAGGTTTAATGTTATTTATCCATACCACATTGCTGCAATTTCTCTTGTGAAAGCTTTTTGTGTCGCTATTTTGTAATTATTTTTCAGTATGATATGTGTAACTTGTATTTTAATTGATAGGAGCTATGGGTAATCTCCTCAATTTTTACATTTATGTTTAAGAGAGGTTCATGGGGGCTAGATCGTTGCTTTCATCTTGACTAGGTGGAAAGCGTGATGCCAGGGAGCCTTCGACAATTTCCCCTTATCCGTCACATAGCTCGTTTGGTCAAGCGCATAAAATATGAGCGGAACATGTGGATATTGACGGCACCACCCACAACATCTACGTTAAGCACACCAACATGTTTGCTCGCAAATCGGCTTGCACGCGATCCACCTCACGAGGTATCGTATGCGCTGTACGTAAGCGTGTGGATCACGATCACTCATCTTCAAGTTGAGGGGGCCATCTCGAGCCCTAAAAGCGGTACGTGGCGATCATTAAGGTATTCGGGAGTGCGACTTTAGTCTTCATGCGATCCAAATAGCGGCGTGAAACTTGAGCACCAAGACCCAATTACTATCCTATTCGGACAGGTTGGGCTGCCGAAGTTCACATTTATCGCATCGTCTTCGATGCGACGATACTGTATGACGTCGTCGGGTGGACGAATCATCTTGACATGGAGTAACCTCCCACTGCCCCGATCTTGGAGTCGACATTCTACAAGCTTTCTGATCGACATATACGCGTCGACCTGACAGCCGTAGCCATTAGCGATTTTGTCTCAACCGTTCAAACTATCCATCTCACACACCATGTCCATAGCAGACGGGTCTGTGATCGTTAGACTGAGCACGACGCGCTAGCAGGTGCGAATAGCACGCCTGCGCTGGTGATAACGTATTAGCTGTCTACGCTAAAACTAGTGCTTACCGGGTGCCATGCACTATCCTTAACTAGTACGCGAGGAAGCGCAGGTAACTGAATCAGTTAAGCTTAGTAATAGGAAAAGGTAGACCGTTTTGGTATGCTCACTGTCGTTATGATAGATGCTATCATTGTTCATTTGTACTGTATCAGAATGCATATACGTTTGATGGCTGGCCACCTTCTCACGACCCATTGCACGCGTCCAGCATTCGTTGGACGCTTGACATCTGATGTAATGGCCAATGTTAGACCATATATGGTGTACCGACAAGTGTGCCCAATCTTTGATCTTCGACGACAACATTTCTTCGAAACGAAGCACTCAACTTACCATCGTTCGTCGTATCATTTTTTTAGTACGACCATATTCAGTGCTTTTCGAATTCTTGTCAGCATCATGATATGGACTTCGTGTGCTCGAAACGCAATGCCGCAGGCTCGCGGGATACTTTGCGAACAACGGACTTCCACCTTGTTTCCGTCATTCATATAAGTAGGCACATGGAGTACTTCGTTCGTTTGCCCGTAGACACATTGTTCACCCATTCTCTTGTTCGTGTGGCACGTTTACCGCTTACAACCACAGTGCGGTCATACCCGACTCATCATGCATTCGCTCCTCTTCTTGCTGCGTGACCTACAACTCGAGTGTCTCGGTGCAATTTCGCAAATGCCGCCATGTCATCGACCTTGTCTTGAGGTATGACCGTCTGCATTGACACGCATGGCACGGTCATAGGTGTGCATCGTTTAGCGCCTAGCCATAACGGAAAGATCGACAACCTCGCTGATTCCGCCGCGCGCACGCCAAGCGGTATCAGCTTAGCCAGGTTCGATTACCGTCAATTTGCAGACATCTCCCGTACCGTCAATTTCTAATGCTCGGTCCGTCGTTTCTATCACGCGACGCCAGTCATTCTGCTGTTTGCGGCCCCCCATGACGGCCAAGCGGACGCGCAGCGCGGCCTTCTCGGCGCACGACAAACTCGTGCACAAGAGCTGCGTCCTGCTGCGTCGTGAAGCGAAGAAGGTGCGCGCGTTTATGGTGCGCAAGCTCGTGCAGCAACTGAAACAGGTGCGCCAGCAGCTCGACACTCGTCTGCCGGACGCGGCCCAGCAGCAGACACACGAGCTCAAGTTGCGCGCGAGTGTGCACAAGTTTGAGCGCGAACACGCAGTGCTGAAGGCGCTGGACCTGGAAAAACTAGTGGAGAAGGCGAAGCTGCAGACGGGGCTGGACACGCCGCTGGAGGTGCTGCATGGGCACGAGGCGGTGGACAGAGAATGGGACGAGGAACAGAGCGACAGCGGCGGCGAAGAACGCAGCAGTGAAGTGGCTGCTGAAGATACTAACGACAAGGAAGAGACGGAGTTGATTGGGGACGAGCTGAGAGGTGCTGAACAATGTCAGGCAGGGAAGGAGAGGGGTGATGCTGCGCTGGAGGAGAAGCTGATGGACCGAGTGCTGGCCCACAAGCAGATTGTGGTCGTGCTGGATGCCATTCGACGCTTGGTGAAAGAAGAGGAGAAGGAGGCGGAAAGGAAACGTCGGGCACAAGAGAAAAGGGCGCTGAAGCGGGGGCGTCATGAGTCGCTGGTCGGTAACACAGGACGTAGTGGTGTGGTGCCCACGTCACTGTTTCTCGGCTCGTTATCGGGTCGAGGGGAAGTCGATGATGGGAAGCTGGAGATGGATGCGGATGGATATGGGGCAATAGGTAGAGCGGACGACGATATTGCCGAGTTTCTGGGCGAAAAGAAAAAGAGGAAGAATCGACCTGGACAGGTGGCACGTCGGACGAAGGCCATTCGTAAAGAGGAGGCGCTCAAGCGCAAGGAAGAACGCGCGCAGGGGATATTTGTGCCGTACAAAGATACCACGGTTTCTGCAAGCGGTTATGGTCTATCGGAGCGACCGAAGAAGGCCAAGATGAAGGCCAAGCCAGGCAAGAGGGACAAGCCGCAGTCGCTCGGCGGAAAAACACGGACGTCTGCGAAAGAAGTTGCACCTCAAAAAGAGCATGTCATCGCTCCCGCATCGGCTCCGATGAATGCTGCGCACCCGTCGTGGCTGGCGAAGCAGAAACAAAAGGAGAAGGAGAAGGTCAGCTTGACTGCGTTTAGTGGTAAGAAGATCACATTTGACTAGCATTTATCTGCGTGTTGTGGCCGGGATACTAGATGAACCATATACAGCCCAGAGTCCGTCTCCCAAGGTGTTGCGTACCCACGTTATCATTACTCCTTAGTTGCGAAACATCTTGGCAACCTGGTGAACTAGACTGCTGTGCGTGGGAGCGCACTGCCGTCGCAGTTCCGGGATCTCGTTGCTCACGATATTGTCGAGTGCCGTGATCTCCGAGTTCTTTAGCCGAGGCAACATGCTGAAGCCTAGCGTGTGTACGGCCACCTGTAGAGACGGCAGAACGCGCTTCCACAACGACATCACGTACTCGTCTCCCTCTGCCAACTGACGGCCGTAGCGGCGACGAAACAGCTCATCCAGCGAGTCCTCGTGCAGCAAGTCGCGCTCAAGCTGAGTCATCACAGTCGAGTTGTGCCACACAACACCGGCGGACGCTAGCGCACTGGCAACAGACAGTCCCGTCGCAGCTTCAATCGCACCACCCGCAAGTACCGAAGCCGCGAGAGCATTGCCACCGACAAACGCGGCAAACACGAGCGCGAGACGACGCCGTTTCTCGCTAGCATAGCGAGTGCGCAGGTCTTCAAACACCTCGGCATGCATCTTCAGCAGCCGCGACGAGTCATACAGGTTTGTAATAAGGTTGTCCACCCGGCGCTCGGGAGCACGTTGCACCTCGCTCACCACTTCATCGCGCATAGCATCCAGATCTTTCATCGATGTACCCAGTCCCTCCGCTGCCTGCATCTGATTGTCCTTGGTGGGAATGCACATCGTGTAGATACGCGGCAAATCCTTCAGCGGGATGACTTTGCTCAGGTTCCAGCACAACGAGCCGTAGGCGCGCGCAAAGTCGTGAATCTTGCGAAACTGGTCCACTTTATTCAGCACAAGATGCAACTTGTGGTCCATGCCGACCAGCGATCGCGTCAATATGGACAACGTCTCGCCCGTTGTTCCAGGTTTGTCCGGGTCAAAAAAGAGCAAAATGACATCGGCCCGCTCGGCGTACCAGCGCACGACCTCTGGGAACTCATACCCTCGATCGGAGTCCCGTCCTTTCATGCTCAACCGGCTCTGCTGCTGCAACGACAGCCGCTCACCTGCCGCGCTCCCGTGACCCACTTGCTCTGCCTGGTGCGACGGATTGTGCGGCGAGTCGATCATGCCGGGACTGTCCACGAGCATGAAATTGGCCTGGATCCCCTTGCGGACCTTGAGCTGCGTGCGCTGAATCAGCGCCGGGCCGTACGTCCGGAGACCAGAGAACCCCAGATCCGGGTCGCCCACGAGCGCCGGCCCGTCCTGGTCCAGGTCTTCGTGGCCCGGCGCGATGATCGTGAAGCCGTCGTCCGTCGGCGCGACGCCCGTCGACTGCACGTCGCGCTGCAACAGGTAGTTGATGAAGGAAGACTTGCCCGACGAGTGGTTGCCCAGCAGGAACACGAACGGCAGCGACGGCAGCTTCTCTTCGCTGTGTTTGCGGTCCAGCGGTCCCAAGAGCTTCTCGTTCAGAGGCAGCAGCACGGACGACTCGAGGCGGCTCGTCTGCTGCATGAGCCGTATCCACTTCTCATCGCCCACGGCGCGTTCCTCTGCGATCACGTGAGACGCAGCTACGGACGACAGACGCGCGCGGCACAGCGGCCGACGGAGTGCCGCACGGCGAAGTAGGAGCATCTCGAGGCGGAGGAGCTATTGGACTGCGGACGTGTTGTGCGGGTGTTGACCGGTATACCGGTGGCTGGCTGGCGGGACCGTCAAGACGTCTACGTCGGACGTGACAGCGGCCGATACTACCGAAGCGTACCGTTAGCATCAGTAGTACTGGATCGCAGAGAGCCGCGAGTATACACCCCGTACCTTGCGCGTGTGCGCGGTAACGGATGGTCTGGCTAAGTTCGATCAGGCGGCTCAAGAGATGCTCATGAGCCCTAGTGCTTTTGTCTCGCTCGTATGATTACGTTCCCGGAAGAGGACGTCATGGTCATTAGCTGTATATCGCATTGTCTCTTGGCTCGTGATGGTGGGTCGACGCGTTATGAGTATGGCAAAGTACCGGAGACCTGGAAATCTCTCGTCCGTGTAAAGAAGTCGACGAGTCTTGTAAACTGCAAGCCAGTCACAGAACGAACGCGTCAAGACCGTCTGCACGTACAGCTCATTAGATTCATTGTTGCCAATAGCCGTTGCTATGGTGCGAGAGCCGCATTTTCTTGGAAGCGCAGAGCGCGTCGAAGAGGTTGCAGTCGCCAAGCGCAGCAAAGTTGATCTTCCGCCACAAACTCTGTGGATTGTTTGACGCCTTAAAAGGAGAGTTAGGGCAATGAAAAGCTCATGAGACAGACGCGACCTTGCTGTCACGTTGGTGAAGCTGAAGTATCGACTGAATCACAGCTGTATTCGTCAAGGATTTGGCCACGCGTTGGGGTGTAGTGAAGTGTAATGTGCATTTTCGGAAACGTTCTGCATTTACTTAGCATATCCCTCACGTGCTGCTGCGCGCACTATCTCAACAGTAGTGCTTCTTGAATTCGTCGTTGCCCTGGCTGGTCTATCCTTGACCGTCGGACCACGCAGCTTGAGCTGGTGCTGCTGACTGCAAGGGTACGTCATTGACGCAGGCTTTGCAGATCGTGGATCTGCTTCCAGTCGCATGTGTGATCGTCCTACTATTGTGCGAGCCAACCGTCGCTCCGTCAATTGCTCACGTACATGTGACCCATTTCGTCGCTGTAAGTCTTCGTGGTACTGAAATCTGCACCACAAGAGGAGATAATAAAAATGCATTTTATATTGAGAAATAACACCACTGAACTCTTATACGACCATATATGCACATACATGCCTGGTAACTTATGGATGCTTATCGACATTTGCGATTATTTTGTGAAAATGTTGTACCGCATTATATATAGGAGCATTCTTGGCGATTTGCAGGTGCCCTATCATACTTTGTCTCCCTCGGTCACGAAGGTGCACAACCTGCATCTTGTAGACACGCTGGTACCTTTGCTACAGCATACATGAACTCTACAATACAACCATCAAATGTAATGCCCTCTCAGGCAGAGCGTCTTTGTTTAAATTATTTAGCACAGTGACGTATCTTTATATTGTATCTCCTGCCTAAAGTGGAGCAAGAGGACCGAGCCGGTGCGCTTATGTGCACCATGTACTCAGCTGCATATATCAACATTTTCCCAGCATCCATACCTCAAAACCCATATCATCAGCGACGTAACTACCACCATGAGCAACCTTCTTCTTTGTGACGAGCACAATGTTCCACCAGCACTGCATGTTTTGTAAACGCGCGACCACTCTTATGTGTCTGCAAGCATCCGCGGTACCTCGTGCATTAGCACCAAACTTATTCTGTCAGCTCTTTCGATCTTGTATCAATCAACATCCTTTTTCGATACGCTATCTCTTGGTGTCTCGGATTGCACCTTGACCACATCTTTCTTAGCATTTTCACGAACCATTGGAACACGACACTGTCTCATCGAATCCGATTGAGACGATTTGGCCGAGACGACAGCTACATATTAATGCAATGTCAAACCACAAAAGCTAGATGAAAGTGGAATAAGCAACGTGACCTTCACATGCAACAATCAATAGCATTGTTTGGCTTTGCTTGAGGCGTCGACCACCATTTCCTTCTTGCAATAATGACAGTTGACAATCAAGATATGTCGGTTTATCGTGAATGAACTTAGACATGTGTATTCGGTCGTTCAGCATAGAGCGCATCAGCATTTTATAATGTCTAAATATTTAGCAAGCCATCATCTTTTTCATTTTGTGGCGCATTTTTTCTCTTTTTTAATCTGGTGGGCCTTTTTATGCTATATTGACGTATTTCTTATTTACTTATCTTGCAGTGATTTTTTTCGTTTTCACGGTTATCTACTGCATTCTTTATTGCTCACAAAGTGATGTACCACTTACTTCATGCGAAGTTGACGCCACGCGTAACGTGCTGGATACGCATGTACCATAGTGATACATGCCAAGCCGTGTTCGTACGAATCGACTTTTTCAGGCGACTGTAGCGCAATGGCCGGTTGGATCGCTTCGGTGCAAACATGCGGAGCCAGACGCACAACAGGATCCCAATCCTTCTTGGAAGATCCGACTCGATCGTCCGGTACAGCTGAGTTCGGCATGTAATCAGAGATGTTGTTGATCCACTGGATGTCCGCACACTTGGCCTCCTCCACTCACACTGGAACAAAGGCGAGGCCACGACTTGATCCCAATGATTACGGCCCAATGCTCGATGACTTCGCCATTGATCTGGACCTCATCGTCAATCCGGCTATCACCTGATGATAGGTACTAATTGGTGCAACTGCGACATCGAAGCTCTGGTCAGGACGCGGTCTGGTCGTGTCGCATGATGGCCGCCATTCATTCTCGCATCGGTAGTCAGGTGTACTTGTTCATTGGCGCTAGACCCTTCACGACGTGCGTTCACTTGCCGCTTAGGGCTCCATCGCCCTGTACCTCGGCCACGCCGTCTGCAAGTGAGCTATGAAGGTTTTCTCCGTTTTGGCGCTTTCCGTGTGTCTATTGCCGCTCGTTGTTGCTGGTCCGGCCCCGGGCCTAGAAGATGTCGACGTTGTCCATCCTGCTCCTCATGTCCATCATTCCAAGTCTGTCAAGACACTACGACGGGCTAATTCCTCCGTCGAGCAAGAGACGGAAGATCGGTTCTTACACAATGAGGGCGAGTTGGTAGACGTGACCGAAGCTCTTGCCGAAGCTCTTGCCGAAGTTATAACCGTATACAATCGATTGTTTGAGTCAAGCACGACCACGTATCGCGGGCTGGCGGACGAAGCCGAACCGCTCCTTCGCGAACACCGCACCCCGTCATCAGTCGAGTCTCTTGGCGGCACCGATACGCACGATGAGGGTCCAGTTGACCCTCACGTGGTCACGGAAGAATAAGTTTGCGCACAAGCGCGACCACATGAGGTCCTTGTTGGAGGATGCATGCCACGAGCTGCTTGGGACTCATGGCGAGTTTGTAACTGTGCGGATGCTTCTCGAAAAGAAGGGAGACTTGATCTGAGGGCCAGACTTACAAAGACCGAGCTGGACGAGTTTTCTTTTTGGTTCAAGACCAAACTCAGTCTACACAAGCTCTAGAGAAAGCTACGAGGGACGCTGTGTCGGAGGAAGATCTCAACATTGTAGCGGCTGTCCAAAGCGACTACGACAAGCTGATTGATCGGGAGCCGGAAGCATTTCATGGGACAACGACGTACCAACAGGGGCTTTAGCTCTTGCGCAATTCCGAGGTGACATCTGAGTGTGGTAAGCTTCGGAAAGGGTTTGACCGGCAGATTGTTTCTTTGTTGATGACACTTGCAGACCGTGGCAATGTCGTTAGTCAACAATGAAGGTGCCTTGGTAAGATCAGTCTGCGTGAGGAAGTTGAACGGGGAGGAGATGGCATCGGCGGAAGGGTATACGCGTATCGGTTGTTCATCAGCAAAGTCGAGTCTGCACGTGCTAGAGAACAAGTTGCGACCGTAGATGAGGCGCCAAAACTCTGTAGCCAATCTGAGGCTGAAGTCGACGGCTATGAGGACTTGATCGGACAGAAGCTGACACACGGTCGCTAGCTCGAGAGGCCTCACAGATGCTTCAGCTCACAGCGTGGTAGTCGAAACGAAATCAAGTGAGCTTCGCGGCACTCAGTCTATGGTCCATGTCTCGTTGTGCTGTGTCTATCATCTAGCCTGCTCTGTTTACTGTCCTGTTTGCAACTGTCTCGTCATCAAACAACATGAGTAGATCCACTGTGGAAAGCCGGTCGTACACGGATGCAAATGTCTTCTGACTGACAGCAAAGACGACGAGGGATCTCCAAACAACGATGCGAGTACGTATACTAAGAGCCGCTGCTTTAAGCGTAGATGCTGCTAATGGCTCATGTGAGTACACACGGAGTTGCGTGGAAGGCTCTGGACACAATCTCGAGCAAACGTGTGCTCCATAGCACAACTAGCATCCGCATCATCGAGCAAACTAGAGCTAGCAAAGGGTGCGACGTGTCCAATGCTGACTCTTCACCGAGTGACGCGGAACAGGACGAGCTGCTATACGCGGCGACCAGCAAACTTCCGAACAAGGGTGGAGCTATTTGAACGCGAGCACAAAAGTGTAAGCAATCGCCAAGTTGTGCATTAGTCACTGAGCTAGTGCTTTATGGGCTGCGAGGAGGACTCGCTGCACATACAGGAACTCAGAACATGCGTGGGGCATCGAGAAGGTCTCATCCATATATACGAACATATCCATACGCGCGAAGCTGCTCACGATCGTTAGCATCAACGACATAAGGTCAACAACATACGGACTCCACTCTCGTGCATGACCACCCAAAAACACAGTCTGGTCAGAGCAGCACCACAAGCGCCATCAGCGGGGGCCACGCTGAGCGTCTGGGAACAATACAAAGGATGGCAACATTCGATGAGAGTGAATGTGGTGAGCGCTCTGCTCGCGATGCATCACAACTTTATGGGTCCAACAGCATTGAGTCGTGTTCTAGGCCAAAGACGCCGGCGTTGCAAACGTGGCCCAAGTAAACACAGACATCTTGCAAACAATTACAACGTCATTCAGACAGGAGCTTCCTCTCTACTCTTACCTCTCTCTCGTTTCTCTCTCTCTCTCTCTCTCTCTCGTTCTCTCTCGTTCTCTTTCTATTATTCACGACGCACCACTTGCGTGGGTAGCCTGCCGTTTCATGGCTCACTGCACGATCGTGGACGTTACCTTTGGTGCCACACTTTGTCACTTGATATAGAAATTGCGTTGTTCTTCACTACACCGGACCTCAGTCAACAATGGCAAGTGCAGTTATGCTCAGCGTGTATAGAGAAGTGTTGCGAGCGAGTCATTTTGGCTCACGAACAGCATTGACGTCTATTGGCACACGCTGCGCTCTTAGCTTTTACTGCTGCAGCACATTCGCATCCAGGTAGCTCAATGTAGCTCAACAAGCTTTGGCTCAATCATGTATATTCCACCCAAGCTACACTACTGACGAGCTGCCGGTCGTACAGCTCTTATTTGTGGCACTATTCCATGCGCCATCGCCTGGAGCACGAGGTGGAAACGCCACGCGGGCCGAGCTCCGAGCGTGTCGAAACGCTTCGCGGCCTTTTCGAACAACTCAGCCCGCGGACTGAGCCACCGCTGGATGTTTCGTGTTTTGCTGGATAGTTCGCCTGTCTCTGATCACACACGAATCATCCGAAGGGTAGCGGCTGATTTTCGTCAGCAGTCCGAGTCAGTGTCAATTATCGTAGCCCGCTATATATATTGAGAAGAACAGGTTATTGCATGTCCACTTCCTGCACAGCTCGGTCTTTGCCAGCACTCGTTGCCAAGTGGCGTCCCTCTTCCGCATCAAGTTCAAGAGGTATGCATTGCTGCGTGCCGCAGAAGATCGCGCTCTCCAGCGACAAGCGATCTTCGGCCACGTCCGTCGGCCTTCTTCATTCCCGAATCTGCCCACTGCCCCGCACGTCACTTAAGACCTCTCACTCGCTCCCTTCAGACCTCTCACTCGCCCCCTCAGACCTCTCACTCGCTCGCTTCACTCGTCCACCTGTCAAGATGCTGAACCTGTACCCGCCTTCGACCCACAGCGCCTGGAACGGCCAGGCGCCTTCGTACCCTCCCGGCACGGACTCGACCGTGAACGAGATCATCGAAGCCACGAAAGGCACGGGCACCCGGGAGAAGGAGCTCAACAAGGCCCTGGGCGGTAAGACCGCGGCGCAGCTCAGTTTCGTCGCCAAGCGCTACCAGGAGCTGCACGGCTCGAGCCTGCGCGACCTGCTGGACGCCGAGACGTCCCACCACTACGGCTTCCTGCTCAAGTTGCTGGTGTCGCCGCTCCCGGAAGCCGAAGCCGAGATCTTGCGCAAAGCCACGAAAGGAGTGGGCACGAAGGAGGAGCTCATTTACCCCGTGGTCGTGGGCCGCACGAACGTGGAGATCAACATCCTCAAGAAGGCCTACTACGAGGCGTACGGCGACGACCTCGGCTCCGCGCTCGACAGCGACCTGGAGGGCGACTTCCAGAAGGTCGTACTGGCGTCGCTCCAGGCGGCTCTCGTGCAGTACGACCCCAACGTGCACAACGCTGCCAAAGTGGACGCCGACGTGGAGAAGCTGTACAAAGCGGGCCGCGGCAAAATGGGCACGGACGAAGAGGGCTTCGTGAGTGTGCTCGTGGCGTCTCCGCCCGAGCACCTGCGCGCCGTGGCGGCCGCGTACGAGAAGAAGCACGAGGAACCGCTCGTAAAGGCTGCAGCGCACGAGTTCCGTGGCAACGCCGAGAAGGCTGTGCTGTTCCTCATCCGCATGATCACGGAGCCTCTGGAGTTGCTGGCCGAGCTCTTCGAGGACACTATGAAGAGCTTTGGCACGAACGAAGACGCCTTGAGCTCTGCCGTCGTGCGCTACCACATTGTGCTGCGCGACATCAAGCCCGTGTTCAAGAAGAAGTACGGTAAGGAGCTGCGCGAGCGCATTGCCGAGGAAGTGAGCGGCGACTACGGCGAGCTGTTGCTGTCTGTGTTCGACGCCCGCGACTAAGTCGGTGCAGCTCAGTGCCGTGTGTGGAAGTTGTAGCTACTGCTCCTGACGAGCCGGCGGCAAACTGTTGTCCCCCGCAATGTGAAGCTCGATGGAAAATGATAAATATAAATACAGGCGAGTCGAGTATCAACGTACGTGTGGATGCAGCCGAACGAAAGCAGGACGTGTTTCTACGTTTGCGGTGTCGGATTGGTGTTGTTCCGCTTGCGATCCGGTACGAATCACTCGATCGTGGCATCCGAAGACGCTATAAGCGCTTTTGTCTGTATCTTTCGAAGAGCGACGGCCAGCCATACGACTCGATCGTAGTTGCGCTCGTGCCCATTTACACCAAATCACTCGCATAGGCTCTCTGTGTGCACGCTCGAAAGTTGTTCTTTCGCTGCGCCTCCTCTCGACAGCATTCGCCTTGTCACCGTATCCCAAATTCAAGCACAATCCATTGCCAGCACCTGAATTCGCCGATAAGATTACCGTATCCACGTTTCGCCCCCTTCTCCGTCTCAGCTTTCCAATAATTGCGACACGCTCTCAATCTGTATCCTCTACGGCTCTATTGGGTACATTTCGTTCGTTTTCGCCAGCCAATCATTGCCCACGCGACCAAAATGGAGCTGAGGTCGGTGCTGAACAAACTGAAGCGCCGCGAGGACCTGACGGACGCCGAGGCCACGTCTGCCGTGCAGCACATCACTTCGGCACAGGCAGAAGCGAATCCCGTGGCCACAGGTGTGTTGCTCGCGCTGCTGGCGGCCAAAGGCGAGAGCGCCACAGAAGTCGCGGCCTTTGCGAAGCACATGCGTCACGAGGCCGTGTGTGTGGCCGTTCCGGTGCGATGTATAATGTTCTAGAGGTTATGAGTGGCCACAGGTTTTTTGATGGGGTGGTGGGGTGGTGCTACTGCTACTGCTACAGTCTGGACGGCCAACGCTCGATATCGTCGGGACGGGAGGAGACGGCGCGAATACTGTGAATCTGAGCACCGCCGCTGCGGTTCTGGCCGCTTCATGTGGCGCGCTGGTCGCGAAACATGGCAACCGGTCCGTGTCCAGCAGTTCCGGGTCTGCAGATGTGCTGGAAGCGCTGGGCGTGCCGATGCTCCAGCCCGACCAAGTGGGGCGCTGCCTCGAAGAAGCGCACATTGCTTTCATGTTTTCGCCGCACTTTCATCCGGCGATGCGGTTTGTGGCGCCAGTGCGCAAGGTAATGGGCATACGCTGTGTGTTTAACATCTTGGGCCCGCTGCTGAACCCGGCGGGGTGCAAGCGCGTGGTCATTGGCGTCTACGCGCCGGAGCTGCTCGATGTGTTTGGAAACGTGCTGTTGGCGCTGGGCGTCGAACACGGACTTGTCGTGCACTGTGCAGGACTGGACGAGCTTAACTCAATAGGTCCTGCTGATATCGTGGAGATTCGCAGTGGTGCCGAACAGCCGTTGCTCCGCTACGAATTGCGTCCTGAGGACGTGGGCGTCCCGGCAGTGACGCTCGAGCAACTGAAAGGAGGCGACGCGGCTGAGAACGCCGTCATCCTCCGCAAGGTACTTGGTGGTCGTGCAGCAAGTGAAGACCCCGTGGGCAACACGATAGCGTACAACGCGGGCGCAGGGCTTTACGTGTACGGGTTGGCCGACAGTATCAAGAGCGGCTACGAGATGGCCAAGAAACAGCTTGCAAGTGGGCAGGCACTTGATTTGCTGGACAAGTGGGCGTCAGTGGCGCAGCGGCTGAGCGCATAGCCCCTCACACATGAACGTCTGGTGTCTAGAAACCTCCGCAAGTGTTTCGTAAAAGTCAGCACAGTACAGGTATGACGATGGAGTGCGATATTTTGGAGTCTGGGGTCTGGTAGACCATATGCCGGGTCTTGCTCCGCTTGGCACTGCAGGTCATTCGTCTGCAACTTCTCTTGCCACATCGATTCGACTGGAAGAACTTAGCGGTATATGCGTCGGATATTACCGGTCGCTGACGGTCGCATCGTTTCTGCGTCTGCCCGCGCGAATACCATAGGCGTTTCCATGCTAATTAGCAGACCATGTATTTCTCTCATTCTTGGGTTTTCGATCAAAGCAAACAAGTAGATCTGATGGCAAGAAGCAAATGTGCGCTGATCACGATGGTGATGGCGCATCGACACTGAGAGTGCCTGATCAGAGCGGGACGTCGTTCCTGAATAAGTCGGACCGAAAAGTATTGCATCAGTGCAAGCGTGTCTAGCAGCATCAGCAGCTCGGAAAGTATAGTATGAGTATCGTGCTTTGCCTGCTAGTACAACAACGAGCAGCTTACTGCTACTTTGTCACGTCATTCGAGTATCATCAATGATTGAGAACTCAACGACAGAGCTGATAGTGATAGAGAATAGAGGGCAGAGCTGCTCTGGACAAGCTCGTGGTGACATTTTGGTGCAACGGGTCGACACCTTAGCGGTTGCATACGTCCAGTAGTCAGAGATTGTCGCACCGGGTAAAAAGCCGTTTGCCGTTTACAGCAGTGCGTATCCTCTGAACAGCTTCCGCCTAGGTAGACACCCCGACATAACATTGATATACCTTAGCAAGCTTGTGGCAGCCTGGTAAGAACGATAGCTGTGACAAGTAGTCAATGGTTTCTCGCGTCCGACGACGCTTATTTTTGTTCATCATGACCAAAGGTCCTTCTTGCAGTAGCTACATGAACACGATATGTGATATCTATGAACCGATTCAGAACCGCCTGAACGCACCATCGCGAGACGTAACACGCTTTTCAGTTTTTCTTCTTTACTCGGACTGCCATTCCAGCGCTACTTTATTTGCCATCACGGCTTGCTCAGATTTGTAGCACGAACATCGTATCTTTCTCTGTGGAAGATCTTTGCCGGCTGGTACCCGAAGATGTCCTATACCGACACGCCGGATGGTGGTTCGTTCATTGTCGAGTGAGTTTATCGGATTGAGAGTATAAAGACGCAGAAGCAGGCGATTCACGATGTGTAATACTAACAAGTTTGAGATTGAGATAATCATATCACCTGAAGTTATATTCGGCCGCACCACTTGACGATGCACTACTCATTGGTCGATCAAAGCGATGACATCAGCTGACAAAGCCATCTTTCAAAGACATCTGTGTGCGACGAGAGGTGCGAAAGTGGCCATCATACGTATTTGTAGGCAAAGTTAGGTTATACAATGTTGGTAGACTTTGTTTGTAGCACGACTCTAAGTTGCTGAATAGAGACTTTTCCTCTCAGTAGGCAGTCCTTGTGTGTTATCGCTCGCTTCTTGGCGAGAAAGTGGGAATGTACATGAGGCATTGCCTTGGGAGTCTAAGGGTTCATCAATAGGCATACACAATCAATGGCGTTCAACAACAAAAATCGTGAATGGCCCTTCCTCAAGACATGCCTATTATTCCAGCCACTTAGACCCTTGATCAAGCGATGTTCGTAACGGGGAAGAAGAAAATTGGACTTCGACAGGACCTTGTCGACTAAGCAACGTCAATCCTTCCGGCTAGATGTCACAAAGGCGTAGGTACGGCCAAAGACGATGAGCCTCTATTTTTTACGTGGGAGCGACTCAAGTCTTTCTACGATGTCCTAGCTGTAAACGGGCACCGATGCTTGCATTGACACTGAACAAGCTGCCTACACTGACCACAGCGTATGCAGTCGACAACGCGTGTTTATAATAGCGCAGAGGAATCTAGACGACTAACGGGAGAGCTGCTCGAATCTTCGAAGCGAGCTATATACGATGCCACTCATCGCATCAATGTGACTGTGCTTACAGATTTCAGAAGTACATCGACAAATTAGTATGAACTGTAACTTTCTGCTCATCACGCACTGCGCGTCCATCATTCATAGACGATTCGTTGGTCGATATGATGGTCTCGAGGAACGGCTTCGCAAAAGTTACCGAAATGTACGTTTTGAGGCAAAACTCTAGAGCAGATGACGACCAGGTAAAGCTTATGCAAAGAGCGCCAGTCATAGTAAGCCAAAACATTTTGAACCAGCAGTGTTACGATAAAGGCCGATGCGCCATCTAGCGCATAGACGTTTGATGTACCATTGGTGGAGATTCGAATTGCCACTGCATCCCGAGATGACTTGTGTATGCTCAGATACGAGAGTCTAACGATACGACGTTGTCATACCTCCGATACAAGGTTTGCTTGTACACCAGTTTAGTTTGTTTTGATGGCCGCGTTCATATGTCGAAACGGCGCGGTGCTCCAAAGCTTACAGCTTACGAAAGCAAAGGTCGTCCGGACCTTGCCATCAACGCTGACGGATACGCATTGTTGACACCTGCGGCAGTTATGCGACAGTTTGTTAAGTCACCTGTCGACATGTCATAGCAATGACGAAGGAAGAGCCGACAGTGTGTCTGTAATCAGGAGCACACACGTGCCGAATATGTCGACATGGGCATCTCGTGCTGGCGTATGTTTCAGTGCTCCTGGCAGGTTTCTTCTACCCACGATGAGTGTTTACGCAAGAACTGCAATTGCCCATCATCAACAGCGCGCACGACATTGCAGCTGCCGTTCTGAGCTCCTGATTCGTCACGCGGGTCCTTGTGTTATTGTTTACTGACCATTGTCGGCCCCGTCTTAGCCGGAGCGTCGGCGAATGGTAAAACTCGATCGAAGCTGTTCATTATAGTCAGATTTTCTGTTCGCAAAAGCTCAGTCTAAACATCCTGAAATCGGTGTATCTGCAAGCAGATGGACAACGAAGAGCAGAGGTGATGCGCACCAGCTGAAGTAGAGCAAAACATGTCTGCGGCCAGAAAGGTTCAGTGCCACTAGAGCTGTCGAGCATGAGCTCGAAACGATCCCTAGCTAGACCAGCACATTAACCCTGCCTGCAGATCAAAAGGTCGCTAGGACAATAGCTTTCTGTCGCAATGTGGCTGCATGTAGTATATCCACACCGCAAGCAAAGTCCCAGGACACTGGCCGACGATATGCCACTTGCAATCAAACATCTGTCTTCGGCCTGGCCATGCAGGAACATATTACCCATCCGTGCATGCAGTCAACGCCTCAGACTAACCAACGGAGCAACTAGAGCGGCTGCGTACAGACGGACAGGAACAGCCATGCCAAGAGGTTTGCAGAATAGCGACGTTGCGTCGGTCAAACAATCGAAAGTCCGGTGCTGCTGTCAATGCCTTCGCTATTCAAGAAAGCCAAAGCGGTTGACCCTCGTAGTTCGTTACTACTTCACTTCGGGCGCAACACGTTCAGAGAACAACAATACAGCATAAAATGAACGTAATATAGCGCCGCCCGTTATCCACGTGAGCACTCTAAGCCCTTCAGCCCTTTTCTTCCATAGCAATCAATGCCTGATCGCCATCTCTTCCAGTACTTTACACCACATGCTTCATGACTCGCGTGCCGCAGCATCCACTCTAAATCACAAGCTTACATTTCCTGCAAAGGCACGTCCTCGGGCATTGCCACGGGAGCCGCGGCGCCCTGGCTGGGCTGCGGGTGCCACGCTGGCACGAGCGACAGCAAGAAGCCCACCACAAAGTACTTCACATCATGAACGAATCCACGCTCGGCGGAAATGTGAAGCACACGCACCAGTGCTCCATATCGGCTTGCAATAGCAGCACTTACACCACCTGCCGGTCCAGCTTGAGCATCGGGAGCAGCTTGTTCATCTGCTGCTGCAACGCCATTTCTCCTGCGACGACGATTGTATATCTCGTAGACCTTAGCGAGAATGCCGGTAATGTGCAAATACGAGGCAAAGGCTAACAGTACCAGCAACAGGATGCGATCAATGGGTGTATCCTGTCCGATGATAAACAGCATGAACGCCATCTTGAGCGCCAGTCGAAAGTCCAGCAGCGAGAACGCTTCGCGCACCATCTCCACGAGCATCGGCCGCTCTTGCGGTACTGCTGCAGCAACAGCAGCGGCAGTAGCAGGCGGCTGCATGTGAGCGGAAACCGACGCGTTCACAGGCGCCTGTGCTGCCTGTGCATCTGCTTGTGCACGTGCCATCTGCGGCTGCATCATGCCGTATAAATTGCTGTACGGCGGAACAAAGTAAGCTCCATGTGGCTGCTGCGTCTCTGCACCATTGTTCACCGCGTGCTGGTGTCGCTGCTGTAGCAGCATATACTGAAGGTACTGGATCTGCTGCAGCACCAGCATCTGCTGCTGCATGAGCATGCTCTGTCGGAACACATTCTGCTGCTCGAGCGGCACCTGCGGCTGATGTAAAGGCGCTGCGGTCGGCGTCTCGTTGAGTGAAAACTGAGGCGGCACACTAAAGTCCGCTGGCTCACGTGCTGGTTCACTGCGGGTGCTGGGGCGAGGCGAGTCCTGTGCCTCTGTCGCTTCCTGCAGCTGCACTGGCGCTGACGCCTTCGCTTCCACGCGCTTGATCCTCTCGCCGCCCGAAGTGTGGACCAGCAAATGGAGCACAATGGGCTCGACACTGTCCGTATCGTCTGCGTCCGCAGGCGGCAGACTCTGCATCTGCACCAGCACGTGTGCCAGTGGCTCTGCGTCGCTGCAGACTTTGCCGCCGAAAATGAGCTTTTGGCTCGCAACGGACGGGCGCGACGGGAACTCGACGCTGAGGCGGTGCTTCAGGTCGCGCACGAGCGTCTGCGGGTCCAGCGCGAGCGCAAGCGACTCGGACGGCGTGTACACGTTGCGCACGACGAGGCGCACGGGCGGCGACGCAGACGGCTCCATGGCGACGCGGACGAGGGCT